CCTACATACTTCCAGAATCTGAAGGCAGCACTTGTGCAGATGCAAGTCAGCGCATAGCTAATGAGAACAGTACCCAGCTTAAACAACACTGGAGAAACCTAGGGTCTGGCAATATCTTTTGGACAGAGAAACACAGTCCAACACAACTCTTTCCTGACAGAATTTCTCCAGAAGTGGATTTTATTGCAGATCTCCAACACTCAATATTTTACATTTTTGTACTATAGCTTACTCTATGACTATGAATGGCTTTCTGTTGAATCTCTGATCATCATTGCAATGTCTTACCGTACTGTTCAGAGGACTTGGCTTTTATTGAACAGAAGGGGAAACACGAAAGGGAGAAAACCAATGCATCTTGTCCTATCAGCCTTTTTTTAAAAACTGAACTTGTTTGAAATAGGAGGTTAAGAATTCAATCTCAATGCAAATTTAACATCTACTGCCACATTGTCCAAGCTACATATAAAAGAACTCCTGCACAATTCAATTTAAACATCCTTCTTATACACTGGCTACAGTCCATTATTCTGATTCAGTTAAAATATCAGAGCAATGACATATTACATCCTTACCACCAATATGTTCAGTGGCATTTAGGCCAAGTTACACAACTTGAATTGAGAAGCTAAGCTTAATGTCCAGAGGAGACTAGAGTGAAAACTCACTGGGAGAATAATAGAAGTTAATTTGAGCAGACAAAGCCAATTATCAAGATCTCCAGTGTAGAGTGAAGACAATGCTCCAGTAGCAGTGTAAGAAAAATTCAGAGTGCTGGTAGCATGTATTCTGTTATTACCAAGGCGCAAAATGTTGATCACATTTTGTATCAACACAAAAAACCTGTAGTTACTATCCCACTCAACCAAATTAGGTATTCCAGCAATAGGATTAATGAGCCTCATCACCCCAGAGCTGAATTTGAAGTTATGTTTGGGGTTGTGGGGGTGGGAGCTGGTGTTGAAGATGTGAAGAAGTCTGGCTCGTAATCAAAAATCCTGTGGATCTTGCTGCAAAATACATGCATGATGAGGCAACAACAAGCACCAACCTCTCTCTCCAAATAACTACCCACCCCTACCCACTGTTAAAAACCCTTCTGGGACTTGTAACACAGCACACACCTACCCAACATTTAAACAGGTAAAGAGATACTGAAGTTGATCTTAACAGAATAACAATGCCACAGGAGGTAAAAATAGATAGGCATGTTATTAGCTCAATTAGAAGGAAAGTTACAAAATTGTTGGCTACTCACCCTTGTCTGTTACTGACAAATGATAAGCAAAATGTATTTTGCTTAAATATTAACACTGGAACAGGTTACCTCCCTATCGCAGCACTATGGCAGCAGGTTACCCTTCAAGCACCATGCTAACATATCCCCTCATGCAAAATTAATTGCAGCCTGCGTGCAGTTAGAAATAAGACTACAGAATCTATAGTTCAATATTAAATTATACCCACTTATCCATTTCCCAAAGCTAAGTATTTAGAGTAAATGCCAAAATGCTTTGTCACATTGAAACATTCAATGTTGCTCCCCTCCTCCTGCTGGACCTGTTAGGAGGAAGCTGGATCTAAGCTCTTACTGCAACCCAAGATGAACTGTGCCTTTTCATAATGCTATTGGCATCTTGTGACTCAAAAAACTCCTTTCCTAACTGTGCAAGTCTGAGAATAGCTGGCAACATCATCCTGTACAGGACTGGATGGTGAAACAGAGCACATTTATAGTGTTGATGACTTCACCATCACAAAAGCGGCAAATAGGGACGATATGCGGTTCAGTTCACACCCTCTCCACACTTCAGCATGGTTGAACCACAACAGTTAATTTAAGAAAGTTTTGAAGCAGCATAATTTTCACCTTGTGAAAAGGTGCCAATTCATCCTGGGGCACATTACCAACAGCCCACATCTCAGCATGTCACTCAGGAGGGACAGCAGGTTATTTAGATAGTATACGCTAAGGGGGACACAAATAAACTCAGTCTAGCTCACAGCAGAGATTTATAACCACCACTTCCTTGTGATGGAAACATTGGATGGCAATCTGGAGTAGGGGAGATGAACCAAGGCCAATTTTTCCATCTCTCACCTAACTGCACTACATATCGCTTATACTTAGATCAGCTAACACCATAGACCAGGAATCAAACCAACATTCCTGATCAATTTGGTTCTGTAACAAGTCTTTGCAAACGAACCAGTGAGGGATCTGGCATTGCAGGCTTTGAACAAGTTTATTTGCCCTGCAGCTGTTTTAAGAAATGAGGTTTGCTTTTAAACTCCATCAGAAGTGAGGTTAATTTCCATTACAAATTTTACAACAAGGTGATAGTGAGGAAGATTGGCTCCCCTCAACCTGCCAGTTAATTCTGTGCCATCAGCACCTTCACTAGGGAGGTGGTACAGTATTTCACATTTAATGCCCAGCTTAACTGTCAGCCAACCAGGTTGCAATGCTACAATGAGCTGGGCTGAGACATGGAGAGAAAGCTTTCAGTGAGCAATGAACCAAAAAACACCAACACATTGGGGGTTACTACTGATCAGAAACTGAAAAGGGCCAGCCATATAAAATACACTGGCCAGGAAAGCAGGTCAGAAGCAAGGAATTCTACAGCAAATAACTCGCCACCTGACACTGCATGAAACATACACCATTTGCCTGGATGAACACAGCTCCAGCACCACAAGCAACTTGACACTGTCAAGGTTTGGCTACATCTGGAGTATTGTGTCCAGCTGGTCGCCTCATTACAGGAAAGATGTGGAAGCGTTGGAAAAAGCGCAGAGGAGATTTACCAGGATGTTGCCTGGAATGGAGGGAAGATCTTATGAGGAAAGGTTGAGAGAGCTAGGGTTTTTCGCTTTAGAACGACGAAGGATGAGAGGTGACTTGATAAAGGTGTACAAATTGATCAGAGGTATAGATAGAGTAGACAGCCAGAGAGACTTTTTCCTAGGGTGGAGGTAGCAATTACGTGGGCGCACTGTTTTAAAGTGAGTGGAGGTAGATATAGATATAGAGAGAGAGAAAGAGAAAGAGACACACACACACAGAGACATCAGAGGTAGGTTCTTTACTCAGAGTGGTAGGTGCGTGGAATGCATTGCCGGAGAGGGTAGTGGAGTCAGCCTCATTAGGGGCATTTAAGCGGCTATTAGATAGGCATATGGATGATAGTATAAGGTAAGGGTGGAGGTTAGATAGACCTTAGGATTAGGGTAAAAGTTCAGCACGACATCATGAGCCAAAGGGCCCAGTACTGTGCTGTACTGTTCTGTCCGGGACAAAAGCAGTCTGTTTGACTGGCAGTAGATCCATCACCTTTAATATTCACTCCCTTCACAAATACACTGACAGCGAGTGCCATGGTCAGTATGCAGTTCAGTAACTCATCATAGTTTCTTCAATGGCACCTACCACCTACAAGGGCAACAGCAGTAGACTCATGAAACACCACCACTTGCACATCTTCCAAGGAACAAACCCTTCTGATTTGGAACTGTCTCACTGTTCCTTCACTTGTTGCTACGTTAAAATCCTAAAACTCCCCTCCCAACTGATCAGAATGTATCTATATTCCACAGACTGCAGTAGTTCGATGAAGAGGCTCACTACCACTTGAGGACAATTGAAAGGTGGGAAACAAGTGCTGGCTTAGCCAGCATTGCCCACATCCCATTAAAGAACCCAATCATATTTGTGAAACCTCAGCAACAGTATAAACCAGTTTGTACTACATTTGTAAATGCACTATTCAGTGCATTTTTATAGATAGCAGATAAAGATACAATAGAAACCAAAATAAGTGCAGATGCTGTAAATCAGAAACAAAAAGCTGAAGGTGCTGGAAAAGCTCAGCATGTCTGGCAGCATCTGTGGAGAGAAATCAAAATTTACGTTTCAGGTCCAGTGACTCTTCCTCAACCCAAAACGTTAACTCTGATTTCTCTTTAGATGCTGCCAGATGTGCGGAGCTTTTCCAAAGACAAGAGCTCAGCTGTGACACTATCAAGCAGCACATTTCGGTTCACAGATAAACACTGGCCACTGTGTAAACTACCAGTATACTGAAGTCCTTTGCAAGTGAATGAACACTGCACCTTCAGGGTAACAACCAAAGGACTTGCAGCTCTAAACATGAGCTAATAACCATTTTAACTAAAATACGAAACAAGAACTGAAATAGGTCATCTGGCTCCTCAAACCTGCTGTGTCATTCACCAAGTCATGGTTGATCTGATTAGGTTTCCGATTTCATAATCACACTCCCAATAACATTACATTTTTGAGGCGCATTGGTATCAACTTACCTTCACTTTAAAATTATTCAGTGACCTCACCTTCACTGCCTTTTGATGCAGTGTTCCAAAGTTGCACAACCTTCAAAGATATTCTCTTGTCCTAAAAGTACAACCTTCAAATTTTAAAACCATCTTCCAATTTTATTTTGTCATTAAATCACAATAAGCTCTCTCCTCTGCGACAATGAACACTACTCCTGTGGCTTGAAGGTTTTAATGTCTTTAACGTGTACTTTGCTTGCGACCCCCCCCCATCTCACCACCTGCTTGTGTCACATGCCATGCACCAATCTGTTAGAAGGGTGGACAAATAAGCTGCTGCCATGACTTTGCCAATTCTAGGCTGCAAGCATCTGTTAGAGCTACACGGGTGCGACCCAATTACATCACCCATTATCTTCCCTTCATGTAGCAGCTTCACCTCCCTCACAAACAAGATAGGAAGCTCATCTGCTGTGAAACCTTGCAGGTGCAAACGCTCAACCCATCAACAAGACAACACAGTGCAGTATCAGACTGACTTGTCATTTCTAAGCAGATGAAACTTTCAGCTGATTTACAATCAAGCCATTATATTGCTATAAAAAGAATGAAGCAAGTCTTCAAACCAAGTTTAGCATATCAAGCCTCTGTTCTGGAAGTCAAACAGAGGGACATTTAAAAAGGTACAAATAGAAACTCACATTGTACTTCAACAGGGGCACTGGGTACACAATTACAGCTTGGCACGTTTGGAATTGTGTCCAACAACTGGAATGAAGTCTCCCAACAGCTGCAAGGATTTCAGAGATAAAAGAGCAGAGTTACTGCCCAGTCACCAGACTAGAAATCATTACATAAAAGTACCCTCACACCATTCAATATAATAGCTGGTACAGGAACATCACATGCAACATTCTCCCGATTCCAACTTATAAAGCTGCTTTCCAGGTTGGCACCTCAAGGAATTGCGTAAAATTCCAACATTTGTAGGTTCCCAGGGCTGTGTAACCACAGTGATGCTGAAAATGGTTTCAGATTGAGGTAGGTTAGACGAATAGTCAGGACAAAAAAGTCAGTTTCCATTCGGATCACCAAGATTTCCCATGACTTATACCAGAGGCATTCCAGGGAATAAAAAAGCCAATTTAACAAACACAAGAACACTAAACAAATCTTTTCACATTGTTTGTAACAGACTCTTCCAATGAATTCCTGATCTCAGCCACAAGAATCCGGTTACAACTCAGGCAAACTAGTCCATTGACCCTTCACCCTGTGCTTGATCTACATGGGCTCCTGGTCTCAATTTCCACATCTCCCCCTTGCCCCTCTTCAGGAGCTTAGTATTTTGCCCCAGCACTCTGATATCCAGTTCTGACTTCTTGCAGATTCTCAAATTTCACTCAAAAGCTGCCTCAATCATGGTCTCTAAATTCTCACCTGAAACCTCTCCACCCCTCTACTATAAAAGCATCCTAAAACCCATCTCAAACAAATCTTTGGGACACCCATCTTAATACATCACCTTACATAGCTTGGTAAACTTTGACCAAATTCCTTGGGAAAGTTTACACTTAACATTGAGATAAACCTGCAAGTTATAACAAGTTTTGAGGGGAATGAGGACTGTCAATCTCTTTCTTCTGTCATACAATCACCCATAGGGGAGACATTTTCAAAAGATTATGATCAACTTTAACAGGCTGCACCAATAACCAAGAGATTTCCAAAAAACAAAGTGGTTTCACAGTAGGTTCTTCATTTAAAGTATGAAGAAAGTAAACCATCATCTTTTACAATGTAGTTCACATTTGCTTCCTCTATCTTATTCTATGATGTGGAGGTGCCAGTGTTGGTCTGGGGCAGACAAAGTCAGATGTTACAATACCAGGTTATAGTCCAATGGTTTATTTGAAATCACAAGTTTTCAGAGCAGCACTCCAAGGGCTTGTGATTTCAATTAAATCTGTTGGATTTTAACCTGGTGTCATGTGACTTCTGACTTTACCTTATTTCATGCCAGCTGTTCACACATTTAGGCTGCACCTAAAGCTGTAGAAGCTTTCTTGACACCTGCTAGTCTATAGCTTGCACATCAACATGGCTGATTTCCAAAAACATTTCCCATAGCCATTCTTACCTCACCACTACTGCAATTCATATCCATGTCAATATTAGCTACAGCTCAATATTTCCAACCTTGATTATTTCCAAGGACTTCACTGCATGCAACAACTTATATTTAGAGTCCACAATGTGGCAACAAAGAAATAAGAACAAGGATGGCAATGGGATAGGCCAAATTTGTAACAAATGGAGAAGTGCTGTGGAGAGTGAACAAACAAAGTCTTCTGAACATAATTAGGAAAAACAGAGCAGGGCTATTCCCAAGTGGATTCATTTGGAACGGACAATTGAGAGAAGATTCCAAGGAATAAAATATCCACACTGGATGGCTTGAACATGGAAGAAAGTTTTGGCAAGTTAGGGGGCTAACAGCAGCTAAAGCTCCAATTTATCCATAGTCTATCTGTAATGTGTTGGCTGATGTCAGCTGGGGAGAAAAGAGTGTGGAGTTACAAGTGACCTCAATGCCCTGGTTTCAAGGAGCAGTCAAGGAGTAGAATAATGTGTTAAAGCTCTGGGTCTTAATCAGCCAATAATTCCCAGTCGAAGTGCAGGATGATCAAATTATTTGCTTGGGCTGCAATGAAATATGTCATTAAGCAGCTTGCCAACTAGAGATGTCACCTGGGTTAGGTGTCAGAGGAAACAGCCACTTCTAAAACAGCATCTTCAGAAATGGAAGCTTGAAACAAGTAAATCATGCCACCTGTTGAAATATCTCAAACTGCTCCCTCTAGTTTAATAGAACTGTAATCCTACAGCAAACCACGCTCCCTTCTTGAAACAGTATCAAGTTACTACATTAGATTAAGAAAATATTTTATCGAAATCATTTCAAATTTCATCACTGCTGCTCTGTTAAATAATTTGTGTCTCAGTAAGGGACTTTTAGGTTTTGGCATTTTACTATGTAAAATTCTGAATGCTGAAAATCAAATGAAAATACAAAGTACACAGGTCAATGCGTTCTATATATTTTCCATATATGAGCCATTTTACATTACAACCTGAACAACTAATTCCAAAACATTTTCATGATCATACTTGCCAATTACTTCCTTCCATCCCTACAGACGTGGTCAGTTAGAGCCCACACCTAAAAAATTGGATACACAGTCACAGAAATACCTGCCTTCATTGTCCGGAGGGAATGAGTCACAACTTCCACAAGTAGCAGCTTATTGGTACTTGGACAACGTTGCCATCCACGACACGCGGACAGGATGCTATCACCCTGCCGTCAGCTTGTTCAACAGTCAGTTCAAAGCCGATGAATTAAATGGGAGCAGGAATCCTGGATGAGATTCTCTTCACTGGTTTGTGGATACAGAACTAAAAACTCTGCTATACTAGCAGGGACTGGCTAATTCAAATACACTAAATCCTCATTCATTATAGAACTGTGAATCTACTGGACAACAGTAGACCATTCAACCCCTCAATCCTGTGTCGCTATTCAATCAGGTCATGGGCAATGCGCCCAAAACCCATTCTGAATCTTTGTTCCATTCTCAATAGCCATACCCGAAACAATTAACAGATATTCACTGCCCTTAACTTTTAAAAGTTATCCTAATTCTTCTTTCATATGGAAATGGACCTAATTGGCTAGGTGAGCCTTTATTGCTCACCGCAATGCCTTGGAGGTGGTGGTGGTGAGCTGCCTTCTTGAACCGCTGTAGTCTTTAGGTTGCAAGTACACCAGTGCTTTTAGAGAGGGTGTCCCAGGATTGTGACTGGCAGCAAACGCAATATAGCTCAAGTCAGGATAGTGCGTAGCTTGGAACGGAACTTCAAGATGGTGCTGCTCAGGAGCTTCTTTGTCTGCCCATATCCTAACAGTTAACTGTTCCAGCATTCAGACTTTATTTATGGAGGGTCGTGTGGAGAATGCTAGATAAATGCAAAAAACATTGTGGATGTTGGAAACCTGAAATAAAGAACACTGGAGAAACTCAAGTCTGACAGCATCTGCGGTGTGACAAATACAGCTAATGCTGCAAACTGAGGTTCTGAACAAGTCATACCAGACTTTAAATATTAACTCTGTGCCTCTCACCACAGGTGGTGAAACCTGCTGAGTTTCTCCAGCGTTGTGTGTGTGTTAGGTTTCTACTGTGCTTGCTGTGAAATACAGTCAATGGCAATGGGAAAGTGGCACCATTTTAAAAAGATGTGTACATTTTTCAAGCCACCACATACGCTAACTGGCTCCTGATCTTCCAAAATTCATCTGAACAAAGCAAGCAGTACAAGAATGGGCTGGAGTTTGTCCCAATTACTATATGTAAGGAAGTTAACTGACAGTGGGTAGCTACGTACCATTGCTCAGACTCTCCATTGGATGCAGGATGTTACATTTGTAACACTGCTGAATGTGCGCAAAAGGGATAAAGAAAACAAATTAAAACTCATTTCCCCTTCAATTCCTCAAAACAGCAACTCCGTGTCAGAGTGCGATTTCACAGGTTGGCACCATCTACTACTTTGCCCGAGAGACTGACAGGAGCCTTGACAACAGAACATTTGCTCGTTCAGTTGTGATGTTCTGCACCATCAGCTCTTTGCCCAATGCTGTCCACATTGGACATCCTGAAATTTCACTGAATATTGCCTCCCAGATGTACCAAGTGTGGTTGCCCTAACATCATGCTAGGCATCAATTAGTTTAGGTCAGGAGCCATAGCTAGTAAGATCTGTTTGCATGATCAGTGGCTTGCTAGGAACAGCTGCTACCTCCATCAGGGAGGCACTAAACCCTACCATTAATTGCAAACTTTGCAATGAGGAAAATGCTTCTCTCCAACTACACGATACACCAGATAATTAATTATCACGATTGCTACTGAAAAGCCGAGTGTAACTACTTTGTAACAAGTAAAAGGGATCATGAACGTAAAATTATTCACCAGATACACAAAGCAGCAACTGAGAAGCAAGTGTATTTTCTGAAATAAAACACAATTACCCGTAAGTAAAATGGAAGCTATTGTGCTATTACAACCTGGTCTAGCAGTTAAGATTTATGTATATTGTATATACAAAAATGGCTACCTGTGAGAATTACAGGTTGAAAACTATTCTGTACCACAACAGCAGTGCTAGGTCAGTAAGATACTGATTGTTCGATAATCACAATTACCCTGAGCTATCATTTTGCAATATACAATTTCAGTGTTTGAGCATATTTTATTCTGCATTAGGGCCTGTGCCAGCCAGCATCTGTATGCGCACGCACACACCCCCACCAATTGCCAGTGAGCTCAATGCACTAGCTATGACATGACAGTCACGTGTGGATCAATGTCATTAATGATAGCCCTACCAAGAATTCATTCTCATCAGCAGGTTGAGCCAACGAGCCCATATTTGAACAGACGTTGCAGATCCAGTGCAAATATTACAATTTTCCTCAGTACCCAGAGTTGCAGGTGAGCACAGATGGTTCTAAAAGACTAAACAAGGAGAACGTGTTCTATTGGTAGACACATCAATAACCAGTGGAGAGTGAGACTTAAGAAAGAAGCACTATATGCAATGTCAAATTTGACTACTATAGAAAGTACCTTTACAAATTCCAAAAATAAGTACACTTTGGGGAAAATTATTGGCAAAGAGAGGCAGAGGTGGGGAGGTTTTTTTTTATTTTAATTGTAATGCAAT